GTTAGTTTCATTAATTTGTCTTCCAAGCTACTTCTTAGAAGTTGTCAAATTTATTTCAAAAAAGATTTTTGTAATATGCTTTCTATATCCTTTTAAAGTCTGTAAAATCTGTGGTAATATCTCCTAGATCTTAATATTGTAATTTTAAAAATGTATAACTGATATGTGTAACAGGAAGAAAAGGTCTAAAAGAGCAGGGGAATTGGGAGGGGTAGGGGAAGGGAAAAAAGGGAAAGGAAAAAATATGAGAGGAAAAACATGGAAACAAGGTCTTTGCAAATAGGAAACGGTGGAGGGGGTGAAGGGAGGGCAGGGGAAGGGGAAAAAAAAATAACCAAGGGACTCATGTAATGGTACAAGATCCCAATGATGAATGTAACTGTATTTTATACCAAAAATGTACCAATAAAATTAATGGGAAAAAAAAGGAATTAGTCCAGGCAGCCAGGGATTTAGCTCAGTGGTTCTGCTGCCTACCCTGCAAGTGCAAGGTCCTGAGTTTGATCCCGGGTACCAAAAAAAAGAATTAGTCCAGGGGGTCAAGATTGAATTCCACACCAAAAAAATAGAGAGGAGACATATACCCTGGATGATAAGCAGGTGCCCAGCATGTTGTCTTCTGCCTTTTGCCCCTCTCATCTGCTTGCCCTCCCTATAAAACCCCACCCTATACCCTCATTCAGTAAGATGAGCATTTTTGGAGGATGATAGCTTCCCTCACACACACCGTTTTCTCAGGGTGCCAGCCCTTGAATAAACCTAATTAGCTTCCCACCAACTCTGGGCTCCCAAGTATAGGCTTTCAGGAGGCCAGCAGACAGGAAGGTGTAGAAATGATAACAAAAGGGAAAAAGCCTTATGCACAGTACTCTGTATGGAGTGATTACAGTTGTGTCAGAACACACCTGTGTGTAAGAACTGTGCATAAGAAAATATAAAAATGGGAATACTTGTGTTCAATTTTTTTTGCCCACCTTCAAAATCATACTTTACAATTGTTAATAATTTGTTATTCGCACTAGAAAGCTGATGTGTCTGCATCCTAGAAGAAAACCTAGCTGAGGTTGATCTGCCTCTGTAGGCTTTGGCATGACAGTGCAGACCTGATTGGTGTAGTCATCAGGAGGACCGTGTGTGTCATACCTTCTCATAGCTCCCTGAACCTTCTCTATAGCATTGGAGGCAGGGTAACTTACTGAAGTCCTAACTTACATGTGGTGTAACATGAAGTGTATTTGGTCCATGTCCCCAGTTCGGTCAGGGAACTTGATCACACCTGAATTTATGCTAAGGAACTGATAGAGAGAGGAGTCCCTAGATAGCCTGAGGGAGGGCAGGTTGATCGCTAGAAGGACCTAGTGATCAGAGGGTCAGAACTTTCAGCTCCACCTCCCAACCTCTAGGGAGAGAGAAGGAAGGTCTAGAGACTAAACTGTAAATACTCTGGAACTACAAGATTCAAGCTACTTCCAGATTACTGCATCCCAAGAAAGCATGGGGGCCCCATGCTCTTTCCCTCTTCATCTAGCAGTTCATCTGTATCCTTGGTTATACACTATTAAGTGTAAGCAAAATGTTTCCTTGTGTTCTGTGAACCATCCTAGCCAGTGATTAAACCTGAGGAAGAATCCCTTTTCTTGTGGCTAAGACAAAATACCTGATACTCACAGGTTAAAGGAGGAAAGGTTTTAACTTACAGTTTGTAGAAGTTTCAGTCCATAGTCGGCTGGGTGGGCCTTCCCATTATCCATGCCCAGAACTACGCTAAACCAATCAGTGGACTAATTTATTACCTACACTCAATCCCAGGATTGCACAGACTGGATCAGCCAGCTCTGAAAAGTCCCACCTATGAGTGCGTGAGGCTGTGGGGAGATGTCTAGACACAAGCCATAATAAAGAGGATAGAGAAAAATCTCAATTTATAGCCAGTAAGTGAGAAGCACAGGTCACGGCTTTTGTTTGTGGTTCTGAGCCCTTAACCTGTGGGATCTAACACTATCTCCAAGTAGATAGCATTGGACCCTGAGTTGAATTACAGTACCGCTTGGTCCTGTAACAACACCCAATTGGTGTGTATTGCACCCCCCAAAAAAAAATCTGGTCCCAGAAAAGTTCTGTGTTGAATGTAAGTAAAAAGAAAAAATAATTTGTCATTTCTTTTCCATTGCACTTTTATGTTTTCTACCAACTACCCTCTTAAGTATTCCTTCTAGGGAGCTTAGCCTTGGTAGCAAGAATCAAAAGCTTAAAGTCAACAGTTCTTGTGCTTTTGAAAAATCTAATATCATTGAGTACTTGATTGAGGCAGGTAGAAGGGAGAAAGAGACTGTGAGAAATTAGGGACAATATTCTGAGGCCGTAAAACAGGAAAGGAGCGTGTGCCTGCCCTCAGACAGAGACAAGACCTCAAGGGAAATAAATGGCACTTGTGACCGTAGTAGTAAATATAAGTACTTAACAAAGCAGACACTTTCGAAAACTGTGAAGTCTTAATCCTTAAAATAATGTTGCAAGTAGAGACTATCATTAGCTTCCTTTTACAGATGGAGAAACAGAGGCCTGGAGTACTTAAATGACTTTCTCCTAGATACTCAAGCTCTGTAATTTCCTGGGAAACAGAGCCAGGATTCACACCCAGGCAGTTTGGCTCCAAGAGCCAGTCTTTAACCATTACACTCTATTGGCTCCTGTAGTTAAATAAAAGGCCCTGAATGGACAGAAAGTTTCCCAAAGTTCCCCATATGCCAAATGTGCACAAAAGACCTTAGTCATCTCTGCTGTGGTCCCAGTAGGCATCTTACTGATGAATGTAAATAGGTGACAAGGGGATGCCTTCTTGTATTGCCTCTCCATAAGAGCATAAACCCCAGGAAGGGACTCTTTTCCCCAGTAACCACTAAGAAACCAAAGAAATGGGGAACTCAGAAAGAGAATCATATCGATGTGTACAGAAAAAAATAGATTAGGCTGTCTGATTTAAATCCTGTCTCTGGTACCAATCAATCAATCAGTCAATCCTGTCTCTGCCGTTGCTACAGCTTGAATTCACACCCACTAAAATTCAGATGTGGCCAATATGGTAGTATTGAGAAGCAGGGCCCGTAAGAGGTGATTAGGCCATGAAGGTTCCTTCCTCGTTAATACTATTAAGCCCCTTATGGAGGAGACTTCACACAGGGTTCAGCTAGCTTGCTCTTCCACCTTCTGTTCCCCTCACCAGGTGCCAGTACCCTGACTGTGGACTTGCCAGTCTCCAGAAGTATAAAAATAAATGTCTCTTCTTCATACATTACCCAGTCTCAGGTATTCTGTTATAGCAGCACAAGCAAAAACAACCATTTATTTTCTATCTCTGACTTAGTTTCTGTCATCATCTGTAAAATGGAGACAGTAATGGTTCCTCTGCCCTGTAGGATTGTGTGCACATTAAATGAGTTAGTACTGACTGGTAAAGCATTTGGGACAGTTCCTGGCACATTAGTAAGCATGCATAAGTGCTACCTATTATTATCACATACACCCAATTTGGGTTAAAAACAGTACCTCCCACACCTTTATCACAGTTTGTAATTACAGTTTGTTTGTATGGTCATGCTCATGCCTGATGCTTCCTCTTGCCATCTATGCATTGCACACTGAACTGGCCTGGTTGACTCTAGGCTTCTCCTATTTACAAAAGTACCCAGGATACGGCCGGGGATTTAGCTCAGTGGTTTTGCCATCTGCTGCTCAGGCGCAAGGACCTGAGTTTGATCCCTGGTACCAAAAAAAATGTACCCAGGGTAACCTTGCCTTCCTTTAAAAAACAAGAAGAATCCAATCTTTCCTGAAATGTATTTGTGTATGTATAGGAGAGAAATGCATTACCCAAAAAAATGTGAGACTGTAGGGTCTGTAGACTGCAATGATTTTTTTTCAGTGAGTCAAGAGTTTAATCATGAAGCCAAAGAATTTTCCAGTAAGGTCCCAACAACAATATAGACGAATACATTTAATAAGAAGACTTTCCAGAATTATACAACAAAAAACCTATATCAGCAACTGATAAATACAATCATCCTAAAGAGATCTAATGCATCATCTTTTGTTTTTGTCAGAAGGTTCTCAGAGTAGCTGTACACCAGTCAAAAAGGTGAATTATTTAGTAGAAATCGATTTCTCCGTCCCTGTGACACTCAAAGGAGCTGGCAGGCTCTTGCAGTAGTCATTTGTCTTTGTGGTGACAAGAATAGTCGCACCCTCTTCCATGGCTGGGAGCGGGAAGAAATGGTCAGAGTCGACCTTTAGTTTGCTCTTGACACAGTCTTCACAGATACACTCTTCTACTGTGTACCCCAGGCTTCTCGGAAGAACAATTTCATCATCGGTTTTGCCATTGTCCAGCTCAGCATTAACCACTGCATCCAGCAGATCAGATTCTGATGATGCAGAAACAGAAACATTGACCTGAGCTTTCCTGGAGATTATAGTCTCGCGATGTATCAGAACTCAAAGCAGTGTGAGGTGGAGAGTGTCTATGATCTGCACCACAGGGCTAAGACATGGTTTGTTTGGGCATGGTTTACAGTGTTTTTAAGTGTTTGCTTATGTGGACCAGATTTAAAAATCAAGAGATTTCACAAATCTGGACAAATGGAACCTTTAAAAATACAACAGAGGGCCAGGGATTTAGCTCAGTGGTTTCGCCGCCTGATGCTCAAGCTCAAGGACCCGAGTTCGATCCCCGGTACCAAAAAAAAACAAAACAATGCAGCAACATAGAACCAATGTGGAAACCATTAACTGCAGTCGAAAGCAGCTGTCGCCGTTAGGCAGGCCATGGGCCCTTAGGTTGGCAGTCACCACCTGGCCTAGTACATGCCTTTGTTACCCACTTGGCCCTTGCAAGCATTAAGGTTTTGACCTTATCACACACATGAAAATGACAGAAATTACTATATATCACAGGGCACCAAAATCAGTGCACGGGTAATGTTTGGATTTTATTTAACTTTTTTTTTTGGTATGGTATGGGGGGATCAAACTCAGGACCTTGCACTTGCAAGGCAGGCACCGTGCCACTGAGCTAAATCCCTGGCCCATGGGTAATGTTTTAGAATATAAGAGTAAAGGTGCTTCTCTTGGGGAACATTTTGCAACAGATGGAAAAATTTTGAAATGAATCTCTTATAATCACACAAGGAAGGAGTCTCCACAGTGTCCCAGTTATACCCCTGTGAAGGGAAGTTTTCTACTTCCCAACATTCCAGTGTAACTTTATCTTCTGAAATGTCATACTTAGACTCACTCTAGAAATAAGCCAGACACAGGAAGAAGAATACTGTATGACCTCACTTATATCTAAAGAAGTTAAATAAATAGAAGTAGAGAGAATGGCAGTTCCCAGGGGCAGGTAGGTGAGGGATATGGGAAGCTGTTGGTCAAAGGATATATTATAGATATGTAGGATAAATAAATCTGGAGATTTAATGTGTGGCATGATGAATGTATACTGTAAAATAGCTAAGCGTAGGTTTCAAGTGCTCTCACCACCAAAAAGAAAAGGTAAGAATGTGAGGTGATAGATATGTTAATTTACTTGACTATAGTAATCATTTCACTATGTATATGTTTATTAAAACATGTTGTACCTGGCAAGCACAAGGTCCTGAGTTTGATCCCTGGTACCGCAAAACAGACAAAAAAAAACCAAAAAAAATTGTACACCTTAAGTATATGCAATTTTTATTTTATGTTGAAAAATTCACTGTCTACTTGTCTGCCAGATGCCAGATGGGAGAAAGAAAAATGAGTAAATTATGGAGAACTGTCATCTACTTCTCCTACTGCACTAGAAAGCCAATGAAGTGGATGTTTTACAGATTATGCCTGGAAAATAAATGCATAAACAAGTGGAGCAATGGCTGCTATGTGTTTGAGAATCAGATCACAGGAAAAGGTGTTGCAGAAATATTTTGATCTTAAGGGATCCTCAGGCAGAACATTTAATTCTCTGGGACTGGTTCTCTACTGCTTAATAAAGAATTATTTTTGAAATGGTTCTCAACCCAGGAGCAGCTAGTTATTCATTTCTAGCATTTTTCAGTAGTAAAATATTCACCCAAGCAAATAACACTTAATATATGTATTAACAACATGATCATAGACCTTGCCAAATATGCTTTTTCTGATAGTAGCAAATCCAATGAGCAATTTCTGATAGGAGAACATTTAACCAATACACTAACTTTATGTATGTTTTCAGTGTGCTAACTTTAGTCACAGATGTTTTCCAAGGAAGTCTCAGTTCTTCAGTAGAGTAATTAATTACCATGGGAAGAAGTGGGAGGAAGGCCGACACCGTAAGTAAGATCTCAGTGCAGATGTCAATACAGAATGAAGAAAGCTTGCATTTAACGTAACTGTCCACTAACACACTTGAAAGAACTATAACTGAACAAAACAGTCAGTATCCGAAAAGGAAATGAAACTCACAATAGCCTCCTTTTAGCAGTAGATTTCAAAAAGTCACCAACATCAAACCAACCTGTGTTTTTAAATTCATCTTTTAGTGGTTCAGAGCTCATCTTCCTTAGCAAGAACAGGAGTGCAAAAACTGCCAAAGAAACTGTCAAGCCCAGGCCCAAACAGGTCCAGAGAATGGCATTTGTTCCTTTCATTGAAGTGGCCATACCTTTATTAAAAGAATAGCAGAGAGATAATGAGCTGATAGCATAATATTCTTATTAAATATGAATTGCTCACTATTCGATTCCCCTAATTCATCAGCACTGATTTTTAAATTCTAAGTAACCACTTAATTTGAAGAGCTGGTAAAAATCTGTGTCATCCACAGTGCTAAATAATTTGAGTTCAGTTCTGCATAATTACTTCATTCTTGTACACATTTGGATCACTGCCTTCTTTCCGTTCTCTTTTTGATTCAGAAAAACCCATCATTCCCCATAATATTTATTCACTGAACAAATAGTCAATACAGAATATTTCACACCAACAGACAGCATTTGACGTGGTCTCACTTACTTGCATTACAGTAACGCTGACAGGGTAGAGGAGGGGTATTGGAACACCGAAGGTGACACGGTTTGCAAGCACGCAGCAAACTGTCAAAATATTCATTTTGGAAGCACTGCTGAGCCATCTGGAATGTGATCACAAAAAGAAACATCAGAATGACAGAACAGCATGAAAGGACAAGTAAAATCTCAAGAATTTCCCAGCAAATGTGGTGACAGCCGCTAGAATGTCGAGGGAAAAAAAGAACTTGACATCATTCTGTTGGTTCTTATGGGAACTGTTTGCATTGTGGCTAAGGATTTGAATACCACCTCTAATTCATGTTTCTCAGTTTAAGGCCTGGGTGGGGTAAGATGAGGTGTAAATTTCAGAGCAAAGCATATCTGAAACTGAAACTGCTTATTTATAGATGAAGTTTCCCAACCAGGTGACAGTTGCAAGATGTAGAAAAGCCTAGTACATCAGGCAGAAGGTTCAAAAACCATCATCTGTTTATGTGATGAGCCCAGGAAATAGATAAGACTAGGTCTATGTCTCTTAAGCAGTTAAAATCCAACAGGGAAGATAGAAATAGAGAACTACTAGGTAGAATAGAAATTGCCAGAAAGTGAGAAAGAAAAAGGAATCAAACGTGATTACCAGGCCCTGAATCTAGGAAGAACTGCATGCTGACAAAAACAAGGAAGTCGGGGGTAAAAGCAAGATGGTTGAAGAGGTGTTTGAAAATTAAATTTTTATTAAAGGAATCCATGATCCATTGTTAAAAGTTTAGAAACTACAATGAGCAGATTAAAAAAAAAAAAACAAAAACAGGGCCAGGGATTTAGCTCAGTAGTTCCACTGCCTGCCTCGCAAGCACAAGGTCCCAAGTTCAATCCCTGGTACCAAAAAAAAAAAATCAAGTACTCATGGTCCAAGCATCTACTGTACCAATATTCACTTAGCCTCCTCCCTGTTGTTTTTTTTTTTTTTTTTGGTGGTGGTGGTAGTGGTGGTTCTGGGGGCCAAATTAGAGACATTGTACTCCTGAGCTGCGTACATCCCCAGCCTTTTCATTTTTAATTTTGGGACAGGATCTTGGTAAGTTGCCCAAGCTGGTCTCGAACTTGTGATTCTTTTGCCTCAGCCTCCCTAGCCACTGGGAGTTTGGATATGAGCTACTATGCCTGATGCCATGTCCCTTGATGTATCCCAGAGGTTTCAAACAAGCTGCTGATGTGGAAACAGCCCCTGATATATATCCAGTAGGAATTCCTGAGTGAATGGATGAGTGGACAGAAAGACTTATAGTACACTGGCCTTGTAATATAAGTGGAATCACTTGAGTTTGCATTTAACCATACTAAATGAGACACCCATATAGAAAGGTCCAAAGGTCAGTCAAAAATACAGAGCTCATGAGGCACAAAGGGGCGTGCATGCCTGTTAAGCCCAACTACTTGGGAGACTGAAAAGGGAAGATCATAAGTTCAAGGTCAGCCTGAGCTATTTAGCAAGAATCTATCTTAAGATTTTAGAAAGGGCTAGGGCCAGATGTAGGGATTTCAGGGCCAGATGCTTGAAACCCCAGCACTTGGGAGGCTGAGGAAAGAGGATCAGGAGGAGTTTGAGGTCAGCCTGGGCTGCATGGTGAATTCAAGATCAGCCTAGAATAGTGAGACTCTGTCTCTAATTAATTAGTTTAAAAGAGCTGGGGATGTAGCTCAGGGTGAAGCCCTGGGTTCAATCCCCAATACCCTCACCCTCCTACGCATACACAGACACAGAGGGCTCAATTACAATGCAAGGAAACTACGAACTACACATTTGGTACAGTGATGTTCTCCTGAGTTGATGGAGGAAATGGGCACAAAAGAGGCTTGATTTGTAAGTCTTAATTGTATTTTATTTATTAAACCAAATGGTGTTTGATGCTGGTTGTAGTTTCCTTTCATTGTATTTTTCTTATTTTTACACCTTTTTATGTTTTGAAAATAGTACATAATAAATGTTTAAATGGTAATAAAATGTGGAAGTTTAAAAAAAACATTTTTTAGAAAATGCAAGGTTTGAGCCTAGAGAAGAGTTTGAGCTAAGATACTGATGAAAACACTGGTTTCCTCTGGGGTCCAGGCAGCAAGATGAGGGGCTGGGACGATGAGCAGCTGATACAGCTGGTCAGGGGCTTCTGCTCCCTCAGCACCTGCCAAGTGGTGACCTCGGGAAGACAGGCCAGGGACACAGGGAAAGCATGATCGGAGATGCAGAAGGAGCACAAAGGTGATGTCCAGTAACTGCCACACCCAAACAAAGTTTCAGGATGGGAAGGGCAGTGGGCCAAGTTTTCCAGAAAGAGCAGAGGCGACAAATGAAGGAAAGAGGTCGTTGCTGGCCTTTGTATCCATGGACAGAAACTGGACAGTGTTTAGGTAAGGAGTGGTGAGGGAGAAGAGGCAGCCAATGCGAGGCACATCTGGGAATCAGGAGGAAATACAAAGGACAAAAAGCCTTGATACCGCCCTGGAAAGAAAACAGTTGCATCCAACGTGTATTTGCTGGGGTACTTGAAGTTACACATACAAGGATGTTCACTGCAGTATCGTGTATATTTACAAAAGGCTGGAACAACCTGACAGTTCACCACCAGGGGCCTCATAATAGAATACTATGCAGTCATGAAAAAGAGTGAGCCAAGATGGGCATGGCAGCACATATCTGTAATCCCAGCTCTCTGGGAGGCTGAGGCAGGAAGATCACAAGTTTGAGCACAGCCTGGGCAATTTAGTGACTTAGTGAGTGAGACCCTATTTCAAAATTTTTTTAAGAAGTCTGGGGATACAGCTCAGTGTGAAAGTCCTTGGTTCAATGCCCACTACTGGAAAAGGGTGGGGGGTAATAGTCATATAAAAGATACATCACTAAGTGAAAAATGCAAAGCACTGAACTGTGTGTATAATATGCCCTGCAGTGTTTGCAAACACAATAAGTAAGCTCTGTACACATGATAAAATCTGAAAGGTTATAAAAGGAGATGAATATTAGCTATTGTCTCTGGCAAAAGACAGGAAATCTAGAATCCATTCAACGTCTTTGGTACTATTTGAAAAATTATTTTTTTTTATTTTTTGGTACCAGGGATCGAACTCGGGACTTTGTGCTTTTGAGGCAGGCAGCAGAACCATTGAGTTAAATCCCTGGCCCAATTTTCTTTTCTTTTTTTTTTCATTTCTTTTTTTTTTTTCCAGTACTGGGGTTCGAACTCAGGACCACGTGCTTACAAGGCAAGCACAGCACCACTGAGCTAAATCCGCAGCTGTTGAAAATTTATTTTTATTCCCTTTTTTTCTTTTCTTTTTTTTTGTTTTTTGGTACCGGAGATCGAACTTGGGTCCTTGCGCTTGCGCAGCAGGTGGCAAAACCACTGAGCTAAATCCCTGGCCCGAAAATTTATTTTTAATAATTATCTTTTACTAGTACATGCTTGTGATACATAATGAACACATTCATCGTGGGAAGTTGGTACATATATGTATCACATCTTAGTCCTTTTTAGTTCCCCTTCCCTCTCTCCCCCTTCACTCCATCCTTAGATCTCTTTCCATCTACAAAAGGTCTACCTCCCTATTTCCTATCATGTTTCTTTCATTTTGGTCTTAATTATTTATACTTTGGGTTTCTCATATAAGAGGACTGTGCAATATTTAACCACCTGTGTCTGATTTATTTCACTTAGCGTTATGGTCTCATGGTGCATCCATTTTGCTACAAATGACTGCAGTCTAGCCTAAAGAAGAATCATTTTCTTAAAGGGAGAGAATGTGGAGGATGAAGGAAAGCAGCAGGAAATGCAACTTTCCCTGGCACCCTCCCTTGCCCTAAGAACAGGAGAGGCTTGTGCAGCCGCTGTGGAAATCAGTATGGAGATACCTCAAAGAACTAGGGCTAGAGGCCCCATTTGACCCAGTTATTCCCCTGCTGTGTATCTTCCCTAAAGAATTAAAAGAATCATACCACAGAGATATATGTGCACCCATGTTCATAGCAGTACAGTTCATAATAGCCAAAGCTTGGAAACAGCCCAAGTGCCCATCAACTGGAAACTGGATAAAGAAGATGTGGTTTTTGCATAAAATGGAGTGCTACTCAGCCATAAAGAATGAGAAACCAGAGACATTTATAGCTAAATGGATGCACATTGAGGTCATACTCTTAAGTGAAATAAATAGGACACACGTGTAAATTCCAAGTAGTTTCTCTAGTGTGAGAAACTGAAAGTGTAAATAAGGGTTAAAATGATTAAAATGAATAATTGATAATTTGAAATAGGAAAAGGTCCAAAGGGGTAGGGGTAGTGGGAGGGGAAGGGGAAAGGAAAGAAGGGAAAGGAAAAATTATGAGAAAAGAAAAAAAATGGAAATGAAAGCCTATGTAAATAGGGAAGGTGCACAGGTAATGGGGAAAAAAATAAGAACCAAGATACATCATGTACAGGTACAAGCACCCAGTGATAAATGTAAACGTATACCTAAAATGGACCAATAAAAGAATTTAAGGCAAAAAAGAACAGGAGAGGCCTGCAGAGGCTGTTCCTGATCACATGTAGGTGATGTGAAGTAGCCCAGGGGTGGCTCCATCCCCAGGGAGACAGTGGCAGGACCCTCTTGCTGTGCTGCCCCGCCTTTCAGATCTGCAGGGTGGGGTCCCAGGGACCAGGCCATGGTGCTGCATCCTGCTTCATCTTTCATGTAAGCATGTTCTCTCTCATAATTTCAAGTTTGAACAAAGAGCACAGCCGCTGGCATGGTTGGTCCAGAGACGATCACACAGAAAGCCAGCTGAGGTTGCTGTGGCTCGTCCCCTTGCCTGGAACTATGATTTAAATGTGTCTGCAAGGATTCGTGCGTTGGAAGCTCTGAGAGGAAGTGGCACCTTTAAGAGGTGGGAGGTCATTGAGTCAGGGGGGCATGCCCTGGGGGGGACGAAGGTGCTTCTCATAGGACACTGAGTTACTTCTTCTGAAAATGAGTTCTTATAAGAGTGACATTGGCTCCTCCTGCTCTCTGGCTTCCCATGTGAACATTCTGTCTCTCCTCTGACACAAGTCATGTTCTTAGACCTCCAGAATTGTGAGCTACATAAACCTCT